TCTTTCTTAACTAGAAGAATAATTTTAGTGAAGCAAAGAACTAAAAATTGAATATAGATATTACCATCAGTACAAATAAAGTTATGAAGAATATAATTATGATAAATAAATAATGGAATATAATAGAATCTCTGAGAGTTTATATCGACTAGTTTTCAAATAGGGAGATGGATTAAATGCAATTATGATAGTTTATGCCTGGAAAAATGATAACTAATCGTATTTAGGAGATGGCAATGGAGAATAGGAAGCAATTTGTTTGTCTAATTAAGAACATTTGTTAAAACTTTATGTTTATGAAGTTCCTTCTCAACTTGGTGATATTCAAGGCTACACAGCAACTAAACTGCTGCTTAAAATGATGTAAGATGGTGAAATCATCTCTGGAATGACATCTCCTTATTGCACCGATTTGTCACAAAAATTAATTGATATTTTTGGCTTTAGTCAAGCTGAAGGATAAATTGGATTTCATGTTTAATATTCATTACTAACTAATGAATACTCAGTTGTAAGATTGAGTTTCAAATCAGATCATGAAATACCAACAAAAATAAAAAGTCATTTTTCAAGAAATTTCGGATATGATTACTATGTATTTGGGTATATTTCCAAGTTTATAGATTGCACCTATTATATGCCTAATGATTTATATCTTTCATTCATATTTTCTTCTAGCTCAAAAAGTATTTGCTTTTCTTTGAATAACTTATATAACTATCTGAATGATATAGACAGACATAGTGTCACTTTTCAAAAGATCAAAATTAATAGTTTTACATTTTCCTTTTTGGAATAGTCGTTTAGATACGATTTAGAGATTTCTAATTAATACACTAATTTTATGCCTCAAATATTTTCTCAAAAAGATAAAACATGCAAAAGAATTACTGAAAATAAAATGCAACCAATTTACTATATCAAAAAAGGGAAAGAAAAATCACAATAGATAGTTTTCCCTGCTAATACGTTTGAAAGCTATTTTGATAAAATTTCATGTCAGTTCGAAATTTAATATCATATTATGTAAGATTAAAATCAAAAACCAGCATTAAATATCAGTTAGGTTATTAAATATAATGAGACCCATTATTATTTTACAATCTTTGAAACACTTAATGAAAGCTATACTGTCAATGATCTAACTTTAAAAGCTATTAATTACGATAAATATATGTTTAGCGATACTAAGTTTTAAGTTATCCTTTAATGTGATAATAGTAATTAAGAATGGAAGCAAACTTAGTTTTAATTTGAATGCACTTAAGGGGATAATGAATTCTTAATTTTATCTGAGGAAATCTACAGCTATTAAAATACTAGCGATTGCTTTTTGACTCAAGAGCTATAATAAGGATTTAAAAGTGATATTTTTATATTTGACCCTGAATATCATTAGTTAAGAGTGATATGCTCAGCTAGCGATTATAATATAGGATAATAGAAAGCATAACTAAACATTAAAGATGAATTAGGTATTGTTATTTAGTAGATTACGATTATTATCAATATAAAAAAGAAAGAGTAATAGTAGTCACAAATTTATTGAGATGATTGCAAGATTGATAAGGCCAAGTAAAAAAGATATTTTTTATTTCACTTAAGATCTAGAAAACAAATAAGGAAAATTGGGAGAAAAAAAATCTTTGTATCGTCAATTAGAGATGCACTGTTAGGATAAAAAGTATTGATATGCGTGGTTTAATTACCATTCAATTTAGTCAGTCAATTTTTAATCATCAAATGGCATCTTAGCGAATGATAATCTCTCTTAAACATTTCATCAGTCATAAGATTTTTCATTGCATAAATAAGATCCTCAACATTTTTAGAAATTGGTCCAGCTGTAGGGCAATTAA